CCAAAGTGTCGCGCAATGTATGACTTCGAGGCCCAGAGTCCGGATGAGCTCTCATTCAAAGAGGGAGATGTGATTGAATTGAAGTCCAAAGTCGATAGCAATTGGTTTGAAGGTATTCTTTACGGGAGAAGCGGTTTATTTCCAGTCAGTTATGTCCAGGTTTTGGTTCCCCTCACCAATTGATCCAATGTATTACAGGCACTGTTATATTGAGATATATTTAATTAGTACTTTTATTTAAGTATTAAGAATTAGTTATTAAGGTAATCTTATTTAAAGCATTAATTAGTCATTTTTATAAATATAAAGATATATTTATTACTGACGAAAATAAATAATAACTAAAAAATGAATTTGTATTGAAATACAATGAATATGTGATAAAGAATCCATTGATTCTTTGAACACAGTTTTTGATGAATTTGTTAAAATATTTCCAAATTATATATTTAAAAGTTTCAAGTAACTTTTTAAATTTTAATAATCTTGTCATTATGTGTAGTCTATTTAAAGTTATGCTTTTTAATTAAAATGTATTGGTAATAAATTGTGATCAAATAAACAAATAACAATTTTTAAGTATTTAATTTGAGAAATTTGTTGTTGTTTTTGTAAAACCATTTCTTATTGAAACCGAATTCAAATCTTAGTATCGCATTGTATTAAAGCAAAAACCTAATGACAAAAAACAAATTCAAAATCAATTAAAACCATAAAAGATATGAAGAGAAACAACAAAATACCAAATCGTTTGGTTCTAAAGGAAAGTCTTGCGAAGGATTTGTTAAGACATAACGAGTATTGTAGTGATGGTCGAGTCTATAGACACCGAAACATAGTATACCGTAGGCCGTAAAGACGTGTCGGACCAGTTGTCCAAACGTGGATTCCCTCCAATCGATGAGAGGACCGGTTAGTGAGATGTGAGTGACACGACTCCTATCCCTGTGTCGTAACGCCTGAGCGCTCAGTGTTTGCCACTTAAGGCTTGATGTTTGGCATAAAATTG